ACGAAACTAGGAAAGACAACATACTAACAAGCTAAAACAATTTCTTTCATAATCATGAGATAAAAAGAAATGTAATTAAAGAAGACCTGTACCTTCAAATTGATACTAAAAAAAAAATAGAAGAAACTTTGCAAAAGAAAAAGTTGGAACCTAATAATGCATATTGAACCTAAACTTCAAGATCATGATAACTAAATAAGAACATGAAAGATTTAGGGTTTAGTAATGTAAGTTAAAAAATAAAAAGAAGCAAAAAAAAATTAAATGGAAAAAGGAGTTGAACGAACGAATGACTAAAAAAAACTAGACATATGTCATTATATCAGACTAGGTGTTTTTGGTAAATTCCAAAAATATGATTTTCGTATATAAATATTTATATAAATATTGATTAGATAATTACTTTTAAATATATTCTACATCAAAATGCAATATGTTACAAGCATTAGTGAAAAAACAACATATAACGTCATACGTTCAACGTCCAACCACTGAATAACCAAGTTAAAAATGACCGGTGGCATTTTTGTAAATAAATGCAATTGTAGAACGTTGAACCCCATTGAATTCGACGTTTTATGAGGGTAATTATTTAAACCAACGCGTCATTATCTTTCTTCTTTCTTTTAAACCACCAATAGTACGTCGAATCCTGTAGGGGTTCGACGTAATATTTGTCAGTCAGAAGCCAAAGAGTCACCCTTTTTAATTCTTTTTTCTTTTTTCTTTTAAACAACAAATAATACGTCGAATTCTGTAAGGGCTTCGACGTATAATTTTGTAGGAACTTCGACGTATTATTTGTTAACCAAAAGTTTCCCCTTTTTAATTTGAGCGGAAGATTGAAAATTCATTTACTTTATCTTAGTGCACAAGACCCTCTTCTCTTCTCAAACTTTTTCTCGAACGAAGTTTGACGACCATCACATGTAATCTTTCTTTCATTTATAAATGTTAATTAACTACTTAATTTATAATTTTCGTTTGTTTTGACCGATTATTTTCATGTTCTTGTTCTTCATAAGCGCATTTTGCTTTCTCTCCCACTGATGAAAAAACTTTATTCCGACGAACCCACCTTTTGAAGGTTAATTTTCGTTTTCGTTTTTGTTTTGAAGAACTTATTTGTTGAACTTGTTTGTTGTTGTTTTTTGTTGAACTTGTTTGTTGTTGTTATTTGGTTGAACTTGTTTGTTGTTGTTATTGTTTGATTGAACTTGTATGTTGTTTGTTATTGTTGTTTATTATTGTTGTTTGTTGTTGATACTATGCTACACGTTCATAGTTCATGTTTTATTACCAACTGAAATTTGTTTTTTTTTTTGCTTTTCAGATTTTGTAGAGTTGTAAAAAATGATTACAATCATTTTTTAAAAAAATTGCTTAACGTCGAATATTAACAAAATTCGATGTCAATTTGATTAACGTAACGTCTCCCGATACTATTTTGATCTCAAATCCGACGTAAAAGGCCAAAAAACAACGACGTTATATGATATTTTTGTAATAGTGAACATAATATAATCCCCAGCAATCTAAATAATTTTTTATTAATTTTGTTTTAAAAATTCAAAAATTTCTATGAATTTATCAATACACACTTCCTATACAAAAACCCCTCGCATATTCATTTTCTAATTAAATTTATTATCTTTGAAAAATTAAACTCAAAACTTTATTTAACAATTTTAAACTCAATTTCAAATGGACCAAATAATTTTCATGAAATTTAGTTAATAACTAAGAAAATAATAACTTTAACCATCTTTTAATTCCCAATATGCGATTATCATAACTTCTTTTTAATAATTTGAGTTTCATATTCACACATCCACCTATATTTAAGTATTTTAACAATACTATAAAAAGAAAGAACGGGTTAAATTTAGAACTTAATTAGTCCAAAACAAACACAATAACGGCATGAAAAATAGAGAATTGGATGAAAATTATAAAATTTTTAAAATACGAAAATTAAAGTCAGGTAATGAATCCTTAACGATTTATGATAAAAAAAAATGTATATTAAGAAAAAGGTGTTTGACTTTGTAGATAAGAGGCTTATGAAGCCGTTGGGTAGAAATTTACAGCTCATTTCCAAGTAAGAAAAAAAAGAAAACGTTTTGTTATCTTGAAGTGGAAGAAGAGGATAAGGCCAAGTAACATAAAAAATAATACAAAAACCCAAAACAATTCATACAACGTTGTTCCAAACCTTATCCACAACATTTTTAACCTTAAAAAAAAATAAAGAAAGAAACACGTAAGAGTCTAGAAGCCAATTACCTTTTCAGTTTTTCTTGCCGAAATTATAAATACGCCAACAATCTATAAAGATCGCTATGTCGTGTGCTTGTGTCTATCCATTCCATTTCCAACTCCTCTCTCTCTCTCTCTCTCTCTCTCTCTCTCTCTGTTGGGTTGGTTTTTTGTTCTTGTTTCTCTTTGCCGAGTTGATGATGATGACACGCGCCGTATTGTTGGACGCGCCGGGGGGAGGTTCGGCGGCGGAGGAGTGTAGTACGTCGTCGTCGTCGTCGATCGGGAGGAACAGCGACGTGTCTTCGGAGAGATCTGTGGAGGGAGGAGAAAACGAGGTGGAAAGTGCCTACCGTGGACCTTTGCATGCTATGGAAACTTTGGAAGAGGTTCTTCCAATAAGGTAAAACTACATGTCCGTGTCTTTTTTTTCTTCCAATGATACTAGATTTAGATCCTTTTTTTTATTTTTATAATATTAGTTTTTTTTTGTTTGCTTTGTTAAGTAGATTCATTTGTATGCTTATTGTTTTCTTTTCTGAGATGATAAGCATCCACCCAAATTGGAATGGGAATAGGAGAGATGGGAAGGAAGAAAAGAAAAATAGAGAGTAGTGATCTATATAATAAAAATAGGAGAAATAAGATAAAAATATATTGAGCTGAAGGTGAAGATGAGTGTATATTTATAATTTTTCATTTTCTAGTAGTTGGAAATGTTCATTTTTTGTGGGAAAATAGTTGAACTGGGATGCCAAACTGTCAGTTGTATTGATTTGTTTTCTTCTTTGTCCATTGAGTTTCTGCGTCTTTGGGTGTTGGATTTGAATCTGGTCTTCCATGAAATTGTTGTAAGATTTTGAAATAGTGTTCTTAGAACACTTTAGGTCACTTGTAGTTGTCCTAAACAAGACAATTTCTATTTAACTTGAATGCCCTTTTGAGTGGGTTATGTTTTAGGTGCATCTGTAGATTTAGGTATAAAAGGAAAAAGTTATTGGAGATCTCTCGTGTATGGAAATGGCCAAATTGTTTATTTGTCGAAAGCCCTTTTTCTTAGGTACTAGAGACCAAACATTCCCTCAACGTAGCCTCTTTCAAATAATTTTAATGTGACAAATGTCTGGTTGCTTACATTTCATCTATCTGTTGTTTGTCTTATTTCAAATGATGTTTGGAATTAATGAATTAGTTGTGGTTGTCAGGAGAAGCATCTCAAAGTTTTATAATGGCAAGTCAAAGTCATTCACCACCCTGGCTGATGCCGCATCTTCCCCCTCAGTGAAAGACATTGCAAAGCCAGAGAATGCTTACAGCAGGAGGCGTAGGAGTTTTATGGCATTGAATCACGCTTTGGACAAGAATCGAAGCTACCCTCTAAGATTTAGTGGTGGTGGGATTTGCAAGAGACCAATCAGTTTGAGTAGGAGCACTCTGGCTTTTGCTGTTGCCATGAATAATTCTGAGAGCAATAGTAGCATTACAAGTGAAGACTCTGGTTCCAGCTCAAACTCGATACCATCGTCCTCATCGTTATCATTACTACCACCTCTTCATCCGAGAAATGGAGTGGCTTCTGGTGCATACCCATCGTCTCCTTCGCTGCAAAATCTCTCTTCCTGGAGATCGTTTTCCCTGGCTGATCTACAGCAGCATTGTGCCATTGCTGCAACCATGAAGATTTCGAGTACCTCCATCGGGAATAAAACAGCTCATCCATCATAAAGATGACAACAAAGCTGTGTTATCATTACTATTTAGGTTATTTATTTCAATGAATGTCTTGCTCTCCTATTTGTTGGAGGAAACAAGTTGTTAAGAAAACATGTCTTTGCGTACGATATCTTCAAACTAACTTAAGTAGGATATGATGTGGATTGCCCTCAGAGCACTGACGCTTCCCTCTTCTGCTTCCCACTTCTGCTTCCCACTTTGGTAATAATGGTAAATCAACACATATATCATAGTTAATGGTCATCTTAAAACTTCGTACTTGGAATTGTGACAGAACGATCAAAGGCCAAAGTGACAAAGGGCAATTGTCCACTTAATGAACCAACCCTTGAAAAAAACTTACATAAATTTTTTTCGTGCCATTGCCAATTTTATAGAAAGTTGAAACCAAAAGAAACATCTTGTAGTAATGGCCTCGGTTCTTTAAATATTTTATTTTTCAATTATTAAATGTACAGTCACAAATTGTTCTTTTTTAATTTGATTTTTTGTTTGAAATATATGTTCTTAAATTTTGAACTTTACAGCCTATACGTAACCTTTAAAATCACCATTTTGACTACTAGTATTGGTAGCGAGGCATAAATATTTTAAAGTAGGATGAATGGCAACCAATTCATTTGATTTCTATTATTGTTTCCATTACTTGTGGCGTTGTGTAATAATGAAAATTGAGCACAAATATGCAAAGAATATTAAGCTATATTAAATAAAAGTACCACAAATTTTCTTCTTTCATTTTGGCAGAAGTTCGAAAAATATAAACCACCACAAGATAAAGGATGGATTAACCTTATATGTTTCTTATACAGGAAGTAAAATTGAAAAAAGGAACTAATTGTGTGCTTTCGCTGCCAATTTACGCAATAATCAAACCAGAACCAAAACAATGATCATCTCCATTCCAATTGGATCAAATTCAAGCCATTTACAAAGGTTTAATTAGTGGCATTTATGGCACGAAATTCCGCACCGTGCTTCAAAACACAAACAAATTGCTCAAGGTGAAACTAAATTTAGAACTCGAATGGGCAACATTAAATGGTGTTAATATTTACATGAATGAATGAAATTTAATTTTGGCCATAGCCTAGTTACAATTGCATACCTACATAAAATAGAACATCAAATCAATAATAAATATAACTAAGTAGGTGGGAGCCAAAATAATAGAGGCAGAGTATCAGGCTTGCAATGTCATCTATATACTACGGGTAATTACAAAACGTTGGTTGAAGTATGTAATTTAGAGGGGGAGATTACAATCAACCAAGATAATCACTCATCTATCTGTGGCATCATATACAGCAAGCGCACACTGGAACGTGAGAGAAACTTGTGTTTCCAATGTAGATACCGTATTAGCATTCTCATCAATATCCAGAGACGAAATATTGAACCAAACTGTCAACCACAGTCAGTTGTTGCGATCAGGAAATCGTAAACCACTTACTTCTGATGTGAAATAAGAAACTGAGCACAGGAATATTCGGACACAAATTCTGGAAGATGAATCTCATCAAGATCTATGGCAGGGATAGCCATATCTATGTCTTCAGCAGAGAAAGGAATGCTGCAGCAAAAACAATAAGGTTAAATAAGACAAAGGAATCACAAACGGTCGCTGTGACTCTTGAGATACAAAATACAGTTCCTTATCACTAATTTGGTGCAATTTTAAATTTCCATTTCCGAATATGTGTAAGGAATCACACCCGCAATTTTTTTTTTTGTAATATGCACGACCTATATGCAGGTTTACATCTTAATTTTGAAGTTGTAGAGTAGCGCAAATTTATCCATTTATTTTAATTTTGAAGTTGTAGGTGCGGTCAATGACCAGCCTACTTTCCTCCTCTTTATTCTAACTGAATTGAATAAAGTCCATATTTCTCTCTCTCCCAACACGCCACATCAGCATTTTGTTATGCGTGCATTCGTTTTGATTATTCCTCGCGGGGTCAAGTATAGGAAATATCTAAGAGCCAGTAATTCTGATAAGCATTAGATTTTAGCGTCCATGACTGTCACAGTACTCAATTGAAAATTCTAAATAAACTACAAGACAAATATTTTGGCTTATTCGGCAAGAAGTAAAAATGCAACCGACTGAACTGCAAAGTACACCAGATAAGAGTTATGCTGCTTGGCATACATATTAAGCTTCATTTAACGATAAAATAGCTGGTCAAAAAAAGAAGTATCCATTTTTATAAAAAAACGTAAAAGAAGACCTTGCTTTTTCGGTATTATAATTTCAATTTAAAAAAAACTGGAATAAGACTCAGAAGTCCCATTCAAGTAAGAACTGGCCAGAAAAACACAGAAGCAAGGAAATCAATCGTATTGATTCATACAATGCTACAAGTGAAAAAGAACTTAGATGGGAGAAGGTAGTGTACCTCAGATCGTCATCCAATAAGAAAGAATTTGATGTCAGGTTCTGATTGTCCTTGCTGACAATTTCTCTCATTACACTAACCACCTGTTTACCATATATTGTTCAGAACTCTCAAGAAACTACAATACTACAATAGTACTTGTCCTTTGAATCAATTAAGAACAAAACTTGCCTCATTGGACACACTTTGGGTTCCATACTTGTCATCCCAGTACATTGTACTGATTCGATAGATTTGCCTCACTGTCAATGCCTGATGAAGAAATGCATTAGCTTAATTTCCAAATTTTATATGCATAGACGAACTGTATATCAAGAATTTTGTATTCAAATCCTTACACAGGCAGGACCTGGAACGTATGCTTATTGTTGAGAAGAGAAAATTTGAAAAGGCATATAATGAATTCTGTTGGTTTAAACTACAGTACAGCTATTTGATTTATATGATCAACTACACTATTTTTAATACTCTCTCAAGCTGTAACTTACAAGCCCATTTAGATAAAAAATAATGTCATCAACACAAGATCTGGAGACATGTTGTTGGATCCGACTAAGTAAATAATGACAAATCTTCACACATCAATTTGGTGCGAGTGTGTGAAGATGCTGATGAGCTGGTGGCACATAGTGGATGCCAAAAGAGGATAAGTCATATTATAGGGTCAACTTAGAGGTTAGAGGACAACGTGACTATTGGAAAGTAAAAAAATATGCTCAGAGTGCATAACTGATAACTTACACTCTCATACAAAAACTATTTAGAGGAGAAAGGAACAAACTAATATTGAATGTTACGTATTTTCTTACGCATCTCAGCAATACCATACATAGACTTTATATAAGCCACACAAAATAATAAATAAAAACAAAATGGAAAAACTACGCAAACTTTCTAATGATCCATAAATAAAAGAAAAAAGAAATGTTTTCAAAGCATAAGACTCGGTAACCAATTTGATTTAATTCTATTAATAACAGTTGCGGGAGAGCAAGAAATTACTTAGAAGACACAAATGGTCATAATGTACAACTACTACCATAGAGCAAAAATACTCATGAAGACATAGCAACTACCGGAGAGCATAACAAGGATAGCAAAAAAATGCTCAGAGTGCAACAACTGTAGAGGAGGAAAAAAATGGGAACAACTACTAAAGAGCAAAAACACTTGGAGACGCAACAAATACTGAAAAGCAAAAATGCTTGCAGAAGAATGACTACTGAAGCGTCAAAGGGTGTGATGGCAAGAGTGTACAATGATCGAAGAAAAAAAATTATCAAAGGACACAAGCTACCAAAGTTGATCGTTGCACATGGTAATGATAGTGGTGGCAGTGGTCGGATGCAAAATACTTGTCAGAAAGTCTCCAGTGGTGGATAGTGAAATACAACAGAAAAAGAAATGAACCGAAAAATGTACATGTTCACCATTTCTAAAAAATTTACACCTATGCACAGTGGACCCACAGGAAAAGCATGGATTAGACTTGTCTTCTCGGGAAGAGTAACAGGTCGAAAGCAGAGTAAGAGGACAAAAAAGGAGCGCATCTTGAAGCGTCAGCACTATCCTCGTTCTTTCATTACGATCTCAAGAAATGTGTAAACAGTTGTTTTCGGCATTCTCATACCTATCAACGTGAGTATAAAGGGATAGAATCTTCTCTACAAATTCATAAAAAGTAATCTATTTTAAGTGTCCTATCATATTAATATAGCTTTTCATATCATCAAATTTCTTATACCCCAAATCGCAAATCGCATGTAAGGTGCTTCACCTACCCGTCTAATCTACTAGAAATAACTGTCTTAGATGTTTGTTTTCAGACAACACGTGGCATCTTTATTTGCTTTATTTTTTCTGTTTCAGTTGTTGAATAAGGTTTTCTAGTCAAAATAAATGTTCCTAAACTTTAGGAGAAAGTATCTCAATTAGTTTTTTTGTTACTGTAAGCATTATAAATGTATTTTAATTGGCAGTCCATATCGAGAATAATAACAAAAAATTTTATATCAACTCATACTCTTTCTCTTTAAGAATTTTATTCTCTCTGCTTTGCTACCTGCCTTTATTGTGTAAAACAACACTGGCTCAAGAACATCGTGATTGTAACACAAAATTACATCTAGAATGATAACTAAAAATTGATACACGAAAGACTAAAGTTGGATACATAGCATTGCAACAACATATTTTAGAGAATATGATAATCATACTGGGCAGTCTCATAATATAACAATCATACCGGACAAAGATCTTGCCGAATCTCTTCCAAAGATTTCTTTCTTTTCTGATGTATAACCTGCATAATTCAAAGGAAAGTATATATAAGCGATAGCAGCTCCATTTGACACCATTCAAGTCCAACCAAAGTAGGACAGTTTTTATACCAAGAACCCAACAGCTTGTCGTATGTAATTGAGCTCGTGCCAGGATGTCCCTGCATACTGCATTTCACAAGTAATTAGTAACCCATGAAGCTAAAATTTCAAAAGTATAAACAATGTCAATCTACCTCTTCCTTTGCATTAACTATCCATTTCTCCAGTTCTGCTAGACCAGACTTCACATATTCACCATTTGAGAAAGTGCAACATTCCCGACGCAAGAGAAGACTAAAAAGCGATGGAAGTTTAAAAAGAAATGAAAAAGCTGAACAAAGGAAAAATGAGCAACAAAGTAAATTAGTGACTTTTAGCAACAAGAACAATCATGGGTTTTACCTGTTGAAGAGTGTAATATTGATGAAGGAAAACACTTGGGTAACTAGTTTACGGATGAAGAAGGATGGGACCTGATCATGGAAATTTTAGCCATGACATGTTAGATACCGCGAATGGCTGAAACTTATTAACACTAATAGAACAGTTATGTTCACAACTACATAAGTCATCATTTATTTATACTCCAAAAGGTACTACATATGTTACAAACCACAAAATAAACATGTAGAATGCATCAAACTGTACAATTTCACCATAGAAATAAGTCCAGGATTGAATTAGGCTTAAAATTTCCTTCTTAATATGAGAGCCCTTAAAAGTCAAACATAGCAAAATTTGTTGTTTGTTGAACCTATCATCCCACCCACTATTCGACCACCATGGAATCACCCATAAATATCTTGTTACATACTTAATATGCGAATGTCTCCACATAAGGGGAGTGTGATTAAAATCCCAAATCGATTACAGATAAGACAAATTTATATCAAGTCCAAACTTCACCTTACAAGTTGGTTTCAAAAGGTTAAATTAGGCTTAAAGTCCACTTCTTAATATTAATGCTTATAAATCTTATGATTTACAATACGAAACAGTTCACAATTCAAAAAATAGCCTCTTCAATCCATCATTTGTATTTTGATTCAACTAGAATGAATTTACTACTTGCATGTTGATTAGAAATTGTTGTTTGACATAGAAGCCAAATTGTCAATTCAAAGCTTCAATTGATCAAACAGTTGAAATAACTCTGTTAAGATGTAGTATATTAATTTGTCACATTATGTTCCCAACTTCCCATCATTCCATTTTCATTTTTCCATTTTGCCTTGATTCACTTTACTAGGATGTAAGAACTTGATAATCTACATACAAAACCCCCAAGCCATCCTATGGTTTATGCATCCCTCTATTTCCAATTATATGGTGTGGTGAACTCAACAAATAGCTAGTCACTCTGTCAGTAAGCAGTATATAAAATGATCAAAATTAGTTCCCAACTTCTGATCATTCCATTGTAATTTTTCCATTCTAGCTTAAGTCACATCACTAGGAAATAGGAATTTACTCTATTCTGTCATGGTATGATGGACCCAAGAAGTGACTCGTGATATGGTATGGTCTTGAGTTTTCACCCCTAAAGACCGGTATTATTACAGCTCCTGCTAAACTTACATCTTGAACAGCAGTATCACAGACTTTTANCATAAGGGGAGTGTGATTAAAATCCCAAATCGATTACAGATAAGACAAATTTATATCAAGTCCAAACTTCACCTTACAAGTTGGTTTCAAAAGGTTAAATTAGGCTTAAAGTCCACTTCTTAATATTAATGCTTATAAATCTTATGATTTACAATACGAAACAGTTCACAATTCAAAAAATAGCCTCTTCAATCCATCATTTGTATTTTGATTCAACTAGAATGAATTTACTACTTGCATGTTGATTAGAAATTGTTGTTTGACATAGAAGCCAAATTGTCAATTCAAAGCTTCAATTGATCAAACAGTTGAAATAACTCTGTTAAGATGTAGTATATTAATTTGTCACATTATGTTCCCAACTTCCCATCATTCCATTTTCATTTTTCCATTTTGCCTTGATTCACTTTACTAGGATGTAAGAACTTGATAATCTACATACAAAACCCCCAAGCCATCCTATGGTTTATGCATCCCTCTATTTCCAATTATATGGTGTGGTGAACTCAACAAATAGCTAGTCACTCTGTCAATAAGCAGTATATAAAATGATCAAAATTAGTTCCCAACTTCTGATCATTCCATTGTAATTTTTCCATTCTAGCTTAAGTCACATCACTAGGAAATAGGAATTTACTCTATTCTGTCATGGTATGATGGACCCAAGAAGTGACTCGTGATATGGTATGGTCTTGAGTTTTCACCCCTAAAGACCGGTATTATTACAGCTCCTGCTAAACTTACATCTTGAACAGCAGTATCACAGACTTTTATTCAAATTTCAACATGTAATTTCCTTGCATACTTTCTTCCTCAGTAGGTATTCAGGAAACCACAAAAAATAAAATATAGATTATAGAAGGTCAGTAGAATACATAAAGGGGGAAGCAAATTGCAGAATGAAATATTTGATTACGATAATGTGAAATCCCAATCATTCAAAATAGAAAAAGATATAGGGTTAAAGAAACCACTGAGAGACTGGACATCACAAAAGAAGGGAAGAAGGAGAAGTTTTTTTATTTGCCCCCTGGCTGGCTCACTCCAGCTTTTGATCAGATTTGACCAGAGCCTTAGATGCCAGTTATCTGACACATGACTGTAGAGTGAATTGCCAAGTACAAGACCAGGGAAAACTGAATTACAAATAAGACTAAAATTCATATATCTGCAGTTATGCTTTTACATATCGTTGATATAGTATGTTTGAACAAACTTCTCCATAAGGCCTTTAAGAGAGAAAAACGGGGAAAAATGGATCTGAATTGTGCATAAGCTAAAATTAGCTTTGTACAAGTTAAAAGAAAAAAATTAGAGAAGCTATATGAGAGTTTCTACAGCATAAACTAATTTTAACTTTACTTTTTTTTTTCTCTAAGAAAGAGCTTATGAAGAAGTCTGTCCAAAAAGGCCTTAATTTGACCCAATCCACATCCATGTAAAAAAGGACAAAATTGGTTAGGATTCCTGAAACCAATTTAAATTGGTTATAAAACTAGTTGTTTGGAGCATAGTTAAGATTTAAATTTGGTTTCAAATTAGTTGAGTTAATATTGCCCTGGCTAAGGGTTGACCTTGATTATGGTCAAGCAAATGACACCCCAGTTGAGACCGAGTCAACAACAGAAAAAAAAAATGAAAACGACAACCCAATTTAAGTTGAGCAAATGACTTCTTGGTTGAGGCCAAGTTGATTATTACCCAACCAAGGCCAACTGAAAAAATGTGCAGACCAAACGATGTCTTTAGATGAACATTGATTTTGAATATTTTAAAATAAATATTTAAGTGATATCCAAGTAATGGAATTGGAAATAAAATACAAAAACAATGGATTTGGATATGAAACCAATCTATTAAAATGGACGTAACGTGACCTGCTTTGGTTTGGTTATCACATAAAAGTTCATCGGTCAAAAGAAAATTATATAATAGCTAAACGCATCTATCAACATGAAGGTTCACTTTATTACACTACCATTTCCTAGTTTGTAGAGCACTAGCAAAGAGGAAAGGAAGATTTCAAGAAAAAATGAAAGGTGCACAACAAATATACATGGAAAACTTACCCTCCAGTGCATGAAATTAAGGATGCACTGTAAAAGAATACAACAAATGGAGAAATGTGTACAAAGAATCAGACACATTAACAAAGTCAAAGAACATTGAAAACATATAAAACGTACATGATTTCCACGAAGTTTGCTCATGAGAGAATCCAAAAATTTGACAATGTTATCCCATTGACCACCAGATGATGGTTGGGGAATCCCACCAGGAGATCTAGACGATTTTGCCCCTTGCACTCCTCGTCCTGTTTTGGGTGACTAACCAAACAACAATAAATTATAAAATTAGACATAAACAAAAATAAACAAAGGTAGAACACTTAAATAAAAGATTTGATAATTAAAAAATGTAAAATGGTGCAGGATTTTAAGTAAGACCACCAAATCTGATGAATCTTCCCTAAGTTTGATGAATCTGCTGATGGGAGATCAAGCCTTGCAACAAGGGTTAATTCAAGGGCAGAAAGGAAGCCTTGAGGCAGCCATGGGGGAAGTTGTTGCAACAATTAAGGACCAGCTGTTAGACTTCAACCTTGAGGATAAGGTCGTTTTTGCAGCAGCATATGTAAGGAAACATATTAAAAAAGTAGTTGCTAGTCGGGTTGTTAGGATAAGTGAGTTTGTCTATTTATAATTAGGGGTTCCTGGTATGTGGGGGACTTTTGGATGTTTTGGAGAATTGTTGACAGGATCATTGACATCCTGTGTGAAAGGGAAATCCTTGAAGGAGAGATATTGTGTTTTTTTCAGTCTATTCAATAAAGAATATTACTCTTCTTTCTCCTTTTAATTCTGGGTTCCCAACAACTTCGGTTATTTTATCCTTGTTATATTTTTAATCTTTATTACAGGTTTATCTTGCTATTAAAACTAAGATTATGTATTTAAAATCAATCCCATAATTACAGGGATTTGTTTCCATAGAATTAGCTTTCTATATTTCATAAACTAAACAGCAGGCTGTGAGATCAATCAATTAGTTTCCAAAGTGGGGAGAAGAAAATTCAAGTCAGAAAAAAAAAGAGGCGTGAAACACATTTCTGACTTTCCCGCCATCACAAAGACAATGAAAAAACCAAACACTGAAATCAAATTTCATGGTTCATTGTACAAAAAGACAATCAGCTTCTCAACCACAACCATAACAGTAATATTATATAACTGTTTCTTCACATTTCACTATAAACTCCAACTCCTAGGTGCCCCTGTAAACCCTTAACAAAAAGAATTCACACCCAGCAACAAAATCACAGAAAATATCAAACATATAACAATTTTATATGGAAAAAGGATTGGAAGTAAATGGGTGCACCACTGGTACCGCTGAAAACATTAAAGCAGTTCAAACTGACTCCGGAAACAACAAACTTAGTTAGAAATTTTTATAACTCCCTCTTTCTCAGACAAAGAAAAAGGTGTTTGAGAAACTGTCGTAGAATTATATTCACTTAATGATATGGCTACAAGAACCAAGAATAAAGCACAAATTCAACATCTGACAAGGTAATTTAGCCAGAAATAACATCTCCAAAGCCTATGACTATAAGCAAAGAGTAAGAAATGGCACCTGAATACATGATCCCAGAAGTGGAGAAAGTTCTTTTTTCAAATTGTCACGCAACAGACCAAAAATCTTCTCTACACAAGCAGTTAGCTGTTGTTTAAAAAGTATAGCAGGATATCTTGCCTCCACATGTGATACACCATCATCATACCCTATAAATTGCAACGGAGATTTTGGTCCCTAGAAATACCACCAAAACTAAAATCAGGGGAAAATACAAAAACAAGCAGGGAACCTATGACAACCAACCTAAAATGAAAAACACCAACACGCTTCCCAGATTTTAGTCTCAATTTTCTCCCATCATCCAAAAAAGAAAAACACCAATAGCAAAGCTTCCTTTGATTATTTATATCTACATTTAGGTCTGGGTTAGGAACAAAGCACTTGAGAAATGAGAGGAAATAAAGAAATATTTTTTTAATTACATGCTAATCACATTCTCAACTCCTTTTTTTTTTTACAATCACATCCTTGTAAAAAGAAAATAAAATGTACAGGAATGAATGCATAGAGAAGACTGAGACAGCAGCCCGACAACCAACAGCAAAAGATGGCGGATGCTACACTAGAGACTGAGACCAACAACGCAGGACTAACCTGCTCATATGATATACCAACTTCAGGTACATAAAAGAGACAACATTTTAGAGGGCTTGATCACGCCTCTCTTTTGTTTTATATTTAGATTGATAGAATTCTCATACAAAGAGTAGAGGGAAGAGCAAAGATCAAAAGCCAGAACTAGAGTCCTAGGTTTAGAGTTAGGTAAAACTCATAGGTACATCATGTAACAGTTTTCCAATTCAACTACTACCTATATTCAATACCTATTCTAAAATCTGCAACTTTATTTTTAAGCATTTATAGATATATAAGCTATAAATTAAATGTCAAGTATCCACAATCCTTGCTAAAGCTACCATTCTGCTACATCAGCCACTTTGCACTGTGAAATCTAGTTACACTGCTCGAAGTTAAATCTCAAGTAGCAGGTCACCTATCTATCTTTCTATACCATTTTCATCCACTGCAGCCCACAATTTAGTCAAAACGAAATGCAACTTAAACTATAGAGATGTAGTCACAGAAAATTACATATATAGTGGAAGTAATACACAAAGAATTCAAATTTTCAGCAAGACAACTCACATGTCCTGTCCGGCTGGTTAAACCAGAAGATCCAGGATAACGCTGAGCAGTGGCAGTTAAAAAACCATTTGACCGTAAGTTCCTTTGTAAAAGGCATAGAAGCGCAGAGGTATTGGACAGCCAATATGGCAGGATAATGTCATCCTCCCTATCCTGATGTAGAATGCACTCGGATAAGTTTCATAAAATAATCACACATATCCTACGAATTCAATACTGGACTATAAATGAGAAAATACACAATAGAAATAACAACAAATTCTATGTATGAGACAAGCAACAAAACATAATAGACAGCAAGTTTTAAGAATAAGAGCAAAAAATTTACCTTTAGAACCTCATTTATGCCTTCGATGATGGAATCAAAAATCGCTGTGCGCTCATTTTCAAATGAATGCCAATGAAGCAGACATTTATATATAATACGAGCAGCAATAGGTTTACCATTTTTAAATCCCAAATTTTCTTTTATACACTTGGAGAGGAATTCATAGTTATCCTGCAAAACATAAGGTACCTATCAACTTAAGGTGCACAATCATATAGTTAGAAACATGTTGCAGACACTAGTTTATTATGGAGATTGGTAGACTTTTTCACCTTCATTTTGCACAATTTTTTATTCTGCTCCTGTATTTTCATCCAAGTCAATTGACTTAATTCAATTTTTCAAACAGGTAATATGACTCTACCTTGTCACTGAACTTCTCTCTCAAAAGGATGGTTGAAACACTGAATGTTCCAGGACCAATATCAATTTTTCAAACCACAAAAATCAAACCCACAATAACCAGTAAAGTAAGATTGGAGCAGACAATTAATGAAATTTTTGGAAGCGATATGCATTTTCCACATCACAATCAAATTTTGCTTCCATTCAATTGCAACAATTAAAAAATGACCTTTACTAGTATAAATTCCTATAACTACATTACCTCAATACTAAATTGATCCTGCCCAGTAAATATTTTTTATCCCCTTCTCACACTGCGTCTTCAGCTAGTTGTTCTCACAACTCTCACACTAACTCTCAATTACAGTTTTCTTTTTTCAATAAACTGATCCTGCCCAAGAAATATTTGTTATCCGTTCTCACACAGCATGTTCAGCTATTTGTTCTCAATTACAGTTTTCTTTTTCTTCAACAAAATGGTAGAGTAAAAGGATTCCAATGTTAATTTTCATCCCAACTATGTTTGCAAAACAATTGACAACAATCGTATGTAGCACCCCAATCAATAAATAAAGGAGAGAAAAAAAAACAGAAAGTGGGGGTACCTCCCATTTTTCTATCATGAAGATGAATTTTCCTTCTTTTCTTTTAGGTTGAGGATAAACTAAAATAGCAGGATGTCAAATCTAAAGGTGTAAAATTTAGGCCAGAACAGAAATTAAACAAGATCTACCTGGTGCTTCTCTGCTGTTAACTTAGATCGACGAGAGTCTGACAAGCCTACTGTAAAAGGGGCAATAAGTTTTGTGGGCGTGGGTGACTCCTGAATAAGAGCATATTAAAATAATTATGACTCTGTTTATGATTATTTCCAAAAGAGGAAGATGAGAAAATAGGAGCTTACAAATATGGTCTTTCGATCAGTGTGAGAGGTAATTGCAGTAGAGTATTTCTGTAGCAGAAATAAAAAAATGTAAAACAATTCTAAGACAAAGCTATTAAAGAAGATATTTACCTAAAAATGAAACAAAATCATAAGGAATGAATAACAAAAGTAACAGACAAAACAAACTTACTTCTGACACTGACTTCGCAAAACCTGGACGGTTACTCTTAAAAGGGGTACTTAATGCTTTCTGACGAAGCACATGATTTTCATTCTCTAAACTCTTTAACTTTTCCTCAAGCCTACATTAAAGAAAAATAATTATCAACTAGGATTACAGGAATAAGTGTAAGATCATGCATTAACTAAATCATATTGCAGAATGAGAAAACAGGGAAAAGAAAAACCACCTTTCTTCATTTTGCTCGAGTTGAGAACACTTCTGTTCAAACTCCCTCAGTTTCTCCATGGTTTCATCCCGGCCTTTTTGAGCATTCATAAGCTCAAGCTCTAAGGTCTTGTACTTCCTTTCAAATGCATCCAATGAAACCTAGAAATCCAAGAAAGGGAAATGAATCATACTATATAAAAAAGTTTACAACAGAAAATAAGCAAACGAACAAGTTCATGAAAGAAGGTATTTCTCATTATTAAATATTGATTTTGTCCCTTGTTATGTATATCTTCTTCCTTACAAATAAGAATATAAGGTGTAAACAACACACAATTACAAGCAGTCCTTTCAATATAGATAAAAAAAAGTTAAATTCCACAACAAGGATCAAGGGTGGGCCTTTGCTTACATGCTTCAGGCCCAAAGGGTTAGATGTAAAACAAAAAAATAAGTATTCATCAAACAGCTTAAGATGTACGGGTAATTTGTTCATAATGACAGCCTTAACCATGGAAGTGTTACTATAAAAAAATAACAGATAAAAGGTAAGATTCTATTTTCTCATAATATTAGAAGAAAAATCTAAGAACCAAAAACACCCTCAACCCTCATCTACAAGCAAAAGCTTAGATCCGGGAGAAGGTACCAAGTGTGGTACTTCTCTCATGTCTTTGAACAGAAACAAAAACTAAATAAATAAATTAATGGGAAATTTTCAAATTACCCGTATCATTCCGTTTAACCTTGGAAACTCAACAAGAAAAATGAAAAAGTTTTACACTATTCTACCCTAGGATAATCCGCCCATCCAAAAACCAGTGTTCCATGCTTCTACCATTTTCTTTGATAGTAATGATGATTAAACATCTTGCAAACTTGTCTCCATCTTTAACTCTTCTTTTGACATTTAAATCCAGATTTTCTCATACAGTTCATCAATAAACTTATCTCCAATTAGTAACCTTACTCGTATCATTCACAGTTCGTAATACCAACTTCATGATTTATCATAATATCTATCTCATAAACCATGTCACTGGTCTATAAAACTTAACATGCCTCAGTAAATAATAAAAAAATGGAAAATTGTATAACAAGAAAATCAAGAATGTGAAACAACAATTTGATGTAACTCTTATTCAAACTTGAATTCATCCCACAAAGAGAAGTTCCAAAAATCCTGCCCAGGATTTATATGGTGAGAATAACCAATATTTATTATCCATCACAATCAAACAGAACTAATGAAGCACCTTTAATAAAGCATTTTCCTTTCGCAATTCATCCACCGCTACTAGCTCCCGTTTCAAAGCGGACTTTTCCTTTACTGATAATTCTAATTGATTTTGCAGAACAGCATTCTTGTTGCACTCGTTAATTTTTGCCAATTTAGCAGCATCCAATTCAAGATTCAAAGCTTCTAACATCTTTTGAAGTTTGGAAATCTCTATTTTTTTAGCCTCTTCATTGGAAACCTGCACAATGAAGCAGAATCTTGATAAGTTCAATAATTTTGTTTTCAAAGCCTTTGTGCCAGATAAATGACCTGATCACAGGTAGGACATTCAGTCCAAATTTCAGATACAAGTTGAAAAGTAAAATAAATAGAATATAACCAGCAAAGAAACAAGCAAAAAAAAAGATAACTAATGGTTTATTTATGGAGCAGAAAACCCTAGCTAAAATTCTCAGCTAGACATCTAAAACATTTCAGCTTATAACAACCAAATATAAATACATATATATAGAATGTTGGCACCAACAACACATAAATATGTATGAGAATGTGAAGTAGGAAATAAACCTTCATATCTCAAAAAGACCTATGTATCACAAGGATTCAGTTAATAATATACAAACATTAAATAAAATCATCAATTTTCTAGAGGTAATACCCTTATTTTCTTTTCAAGATGTAAACGCCATGAGAGATCTTCCATTTGCTTCTCCAGTTTATTCTTTGCTAATCGAAGAGCACCAGCTTCATTTGCCTCCTGATAAAGACATTTAAAAACGAAAATAAGAACAATTTGTCTACTTTGGATGGGATCTTCCACATAGACTCTGAAGGTAAAAATGTTACTTGTTTAAGTCTCCGTAACTCTCTTTTTGCTTGTCTGCACCGCCAAAGGCATTGTATTGCCACAACTGAAGTTTGATAGCGTAGGAAAGATGACCTAACCTTGGACATCCTCCAATAGGCCTACAATGTTATGTATGATCAACAAAACAATATAACAGAAGAATGTCATCCAAAGTAACCAGACACAAAGAGCAAGCGTGAAAGTGAATGCAGCAACAATTGAAACCAAAAAAAATAATTCATTGTGCCATTGCACTGTAAACTATTAGACTGAGAAGAGATGGAGATCAAAATCGTATGTTCTCCTCTGAAGAATTCTCCACTAAATAGGGATGATACAATATTTTGCAAGAATGCTATCATGCAGCTTTTCTATCTGTGAAACAAACTGAACAAGAGAGAATTTTAAACCTAACTTAATTGAATGCATCTGAATAACTTGTGAAATAAGATAGTTACAAGAGTAATTATAGCTAAACTTCAATAGAAGAGATAGGTGTGTTAGCAATAACGAACAGCTTTATTCAATTGATACAAGAGATAGTTGTTAGCAGTAGCTTAACAGCTCAAGGAAAAGTTTTTTCAAAAGAAAAACTCTTTACATTGAATTTGCCTATGAGAAGAAAACTGAGCAGAAGAAACGGGGTCAGTCAACACATTTGCCCACTGATCCAGAGGTGCAATGTGATAGAAAAAATAAATAAATAAAAAAGCTGTTTGACCAGAACCTTTTCCCACACAAGGAAAACATTAATCTCTATTAGATTATAACAGGCTTAGACTCATCTCTTTGTATTTTATTATTTATAAATGCATAACCCTAATTGTAAAGAGAGAAAAATTTAAATCAAACAGAATATTATCTTGGTTCACAACAAAAGTACTACTCCCCCTCGTCTCATAAATATAAGACATTTATATTTAATTCACACCTGTTAAGAAAGTAAGTTTGATTAATGATAAGAACTTGGTTATTAAGGAATGCCTACTTAGCATCCATTAATAATCAAGTCCCTATCAGTTAGAAGCATTATATTTGTAATTGTAATATTTTTCAAAAGTCACCCTTAATTAATGGAGGGGGAGAAAAATAATAGCAGCAGTTGTTAAGGGTATTTATCAAAATATTTAATGCAAGAGAAACAGAAAAGAATCTTATAAAAGGGAGCAAGGAATTTTCCAAATGATGTCTTGCATCTAGGGACAAAGACAGTATTTGTAAACTAGGATNTATAACTACATTACCTCAATACTAAATTGATCCTGCCCAGTAAATATTTTTTATCCCCTTCTCACACTGCGTCTTCAGCTAGTTGTTCTCACAACTCTCACACTAACTCTCAATTACAGTTTTCTTTTTTCAATAAACTGATCCTGCCCAAGAAATATTTGTTATCCGTTCTCACACAGCATGTTCAGCTATTTGTTCTCAATTACAGTTTTCTTTTTCTTCAACAAAATGGTAGAGTAAAAGGATTCCAATGTTAATTTTCATCCCAACTATGTTTGCAAAACAATTGACAACAATCGTATGTAGCACCCCAATCAATAAATAAAGGAGAGAAAAAAAAACAAAAAGTGGGGGTACCTCCCATTTTTCTATCATGAAGATGAATTTTCCTTCTTTTCTTTTAGGTTGAGGATAAACTAAAATAGCAGGATGTCAAATCTAAAGGTGTAAAATTTAGGCCAGAACAGAAATTAAACAAGATCTACCTGGTGCTTCTCTGCTGTTAACTTAGATCGACGAGAGTCTGACAAGCCTACTGTAAAAGGGGCAATAAGTTTTGTGGGCGTGGGTGACTCCTGAATAAGAGCATATTAAAATAATTATGACTCTGTTTATGATTATTTCCAAAAGAGGAAGATGAGAAAATAGGAGCTTACAAATATGGTCTTTCGATCAGTGTGAGAGGTAATTGCAGTAGAGTATTTCTGTAGCAGAAATAAAAAAATGTAAAACAATTCTAAGACAAAGCTATTAAAGAAGATATTTACCTAAAAATGAAACAAAATCATAAGGAATGAATAACAAAAGTAACAGACAAAACAAACTTACTTCTGACACTGACTTCGCAAAACCTGGACGGTTACTCTTAAAAGGGGTACTTAATGCTTTCTGACGAAGCACATGATTTTCATTCTCTAAACTCTTTAACTTTTCCTCAAGCCTACATTAAAGAAAAATAATTATCAACTAGGATTACAGGAATAAGTGTAAGATCATGCATTAACTAAATCATATTGCAGAATGAGAAAACAGGGAAAAGAAAAACCACCTTTCTTCATTTTGCTCGAGTTGAGAACACTTCTGTTCAAACTCCCTCAGTTTCTCCATGGTTTCATCCCGGCCTTTTTGAGCATTCATAAGCTCAAGCTCTAAGGTCTTGTACTTCCTTTCAAATGCATCCAATGAAACCTAGAAATCCAAGAAAGGGAAATGAATCATACTATATAAAAAAGTTTACAACAGAAAATAAGCAAACGAACAAGTTCATGAAAGAAGGTATTTCTCATTATTAAATATTGATTTTGTCCCTTGTTATGTATATCTTCTTCCTTACAAATAAGAATATAAGGTGTAAACAACACACAATTACAAGCAGTCCTTTCAATATAGATAAAAAAAAGTTAAATTCCACAACAAGGATCAAGGGTGGGCCTTTGCTTACATGCTTCAGGCCCAAAGGGTTAGATGTAAAACAAAAAAATAAGTATTCATCAAACAGCTTAAGATGTACGGGTAATTTGTTCATAATGACAGCCTTAACCATGGAAGTGTTACTATAAAAAAATAACAGATAAAAGGTAAGATTCTATTTTCTCATAATATTAGAAGAAAAATCTAAGAACCAAAAACACCCTCAACCCTCATCTACAAGCAAAAGCTTAGATCCGGGAGAAGGTACCAAGTGTGGTACTTCTCTCATGTCTTTGAACAGAAACAAAAACTAAATAAATAAATTAATGGGAAATTTTCAAATTACCCGTATCATTCCGTTTAACCTTGGAAACTCAACAAGAAAAATGAAAAAGTTTTACACTATTCTACCCTAGGATAATCCGCCCATCCAAAAACCAGTGTTCCATGCTTCTACCATTTTCTTTGATAGTAATGATGATTAAACATCTTGCAAACTTGTCTCCATCTTTAACTCTTCTTTTGACATTTAAATCCAGATTTTCTCATACAGTTCATCAATAAACTTATCTCCAATTAGTAACCTTACTCGTAACATTCACAGTTCGTAATACCAACTTCATGATTTATCATAATATCTATCTCATAAACCATGTCACTGGTCTATAAAACTTAACATGCCTCAGTAAATAATAAAAAAATGGAAAATTGTATAACAAGAAAATCAAGAATGTGAAACAACAATTTGATGTAACTCTTATTCAAACTTGAATTCATCCCACAAAGAGAAGTTCCAAAAATCCTGCCCAGGATTTATATGGTGAGAATAACCAATATTTATTATCCATCACAATCAAACAGAACTAATGAAGCACCTTTAATAAAGCATTTTCCTTTCGCAATTCATCCACCGCTACTAGCTCCCGTTTCAAAGCGGACTTTTCCTTTACTGATAATTCTAATTGATTTTGCAGAACAGCATTCTTGTTGCACTCGTTAATTTTTGCCAATTTAGCAGCATCCAATTCAAGATTCAAAGCTTCTAACATCTTTTGAAGTTTGGAAATCTCTATTTTTTTAGCCTCTTCATTGGAAACCTGCACAATGAAGCAGAATCTTGATAAGTTCAATAATTTTGTTTTCAAAGCCTTTGTGCCAGATAAATGACCTGATCACAGGTAGGACATTCAGTCCAAATTTCAGATACAAGTTGAAAAGTAAAATAAATAGAATATAACCAGCAAAGAAACAAGCAAAAAAAAAGATAACTAATGGTTTATTTATGGAGCAGAAAACCCTAGCTAAAATTCTCAGCTAGACATCTAAAACATTTCAGCTTATAACAACCAAATATAAATACATATATATAGAATGTTGGCACCAACAACACATAAATATGTATGAGAATGTGAAGTAGGAAATAAACCTTCATATCTCAAAAAGACCTATGTATCACAAGGATTCAGTTAATAATATACAAACATTAAATAAAATCATCAATTTTCTAGAGGTAATACCCTTATTTTCTTTTCAAGATGTAAACGCCATGAGAGATCTTCCATTTGCTTCTCCAGTTTATTCTTTGCTAATCGAAGAGCACCAGCTTCATTTGCCTCCTGATAAAGACATTTAAAAACGAAAATAAGAACAATTTGTCTACTTTGGATGGGATCTTCCACATAGACTCTGAAGGTAAAAATGTTACTTGTTTAAGTCTCCGTAACTCTCTTTTTGCTTGTCTGCACCGCCAAAGGCATTGTATTGCCACAACTGAAGTTTGATAGCGTAGGAAAGATGACCTAACCTTGGACATCCTCCAATAGGCCTACAATGTTATGTATGATCAACAAAACAATATAACAGAAGAATGTCATCCAAAGTAACCAGACACAAAGAGCAAGCGTGAAAGTGAATGCAGCAACAATTGAAACCAAAAAAAATAATTCATTGTGCCATTGCACTGTAAACTATTAGACTGAGAAGAGATGGAGATCAAAATCGTATGTTCTCCTCTGAAGAATTCTCCACTAAATAGGGATGATACAATATTTTGCAAGAATGCTATCATGCAGCTTTTCTATCTGTGAAACAAACTGAACAAGAGAGAATTTTAAACCTAACTTAATTGAATGCATCTGAATAACTTGTGAAATAAGATAGTTACAAGAGTAATTATAGCTAAACTTCAATAGAAGAGATAAGTGTGTTAGCAATAACGAACAGCTTTATTCAATTGATACAAGAGATAGTTGTTAGCAGTAGCTTAACAGCTCAAGGAAAAGTTTTTTCAAAAGAAAAACTCTTTACATTGAATTTGCCTATGAGAAGAAAACTGAGCAGAAGAAACGGGGTCAGTCAACACATTTGCCCACTGATCCAGAGGTGCAATGTGATAGAAAAAATAAATAAATAAAAAAGCTGTTTGACCAGAACCTTTTCCCACACAAGGAAAACATTAATCTCTATTAGATTATAACAGGCTTAGACTCATCTCTTTGTATTTTATTATTTATAAATGCATAACCCTAATTGTAAAGAGAGAAAAATTTAAATCAAACAGAATATTATCTTGGTTCACAACAAAAGTACTACTCCCCCTCGTCTCATAAATATAAGACATTTATATTTAATTCACACCTGTTAAGAAAGTAAGTTTGATTAATGATAAGAACTTGGTTATTAAGGAATGCCTACTTAGCATCCATTAATAATCAAGTCCCTATCAGTTAGAAGCATTATATTTGTAATTGTAATATTTTTCAAAAGTCACCCTTAATTAATGGAGGGGGAGAAAAATAATAGCAGCAGTTGTTAAGGGTATTTATCAAAATATTTAATGCAAGAGAAACAGAAAAGAATCTTATAAAAGGGAGCAAGGAATTTTCCAAATGATGTCTTGCATCTAGGGACAAAGACAGTATTTGTAAACTAGGATGATAAATACCCAAGGAAGTCTTTTTTATAAAAGTGATGAAGACACAGCCTATGACTTTCACCGTCTAAAAGTTCTACCGCATATAACACATCTTGAAAAAATTACCTGAACAAAAGTAGCAGCGCTATGTTCTTTTGCATGTAAGAATCTTTGGCGAGTCACAAAACCTCGAACATGAGATTGCATGATAATAGCAGAAAAATACAGTTTTAAGTGAGCATGCCTTGTAAGCCACATCCGAATATATTTCTGAATGGAGATAGCCGCTGCTGTCTCCCTTTTAGCAGCATATATCTTTCGGGCAATATGACCTACAAAATAAGTACAAAAAGCTGATGACAGTCAAGCTAATGTCATATTAGCGTGATCCCCATACTTAATGCATTTTCAAGTTGTTAAATTTAGGGGAAGACAGACAGAAATCGAGAAAGGAGAGAGAGAAAGAGTGTGCTACTGTATCAGTGTTAGAATATACCGTGAATGCATGATTACATGGAATTCATTGCACAAGATTAGAGGATACTATGTTTCCCCTAAATGAGATATTCAAGCCACGCCTATAAACCAAATTTATAAGATTCAGAACACTATGATTTGGTTCTTAATATGAAGTAGACCTTTGCGAGAGAATCGATTAAGATACTTAAGAATCCAAATAGTTGCATCACAGTGCACCTAACAAGGTGAATCCAAATAGTTGACTCACCATGCTAAATGCAAAAGCAATATTTGGATCAATGACAATAAGATAATTGAGTTTTCCAACTAGCATTCTATATCTCCCAAGATGTGTTAAGCGCACTCCTTGATCAAGTAGCAACATTACAAGAGAGTGTCTATTGGCTTGGCAACAAGAAAGCAACCTTCTTCCAAGAGGTCAAGTGGATACTACCTTTTGTAAATCACCAAACCATCCTTGGATTTAGCAATTTCAATAACTAAAAATTACCAAAGCCGACCAAGGTCCTTAATCTAAATATCTCAACAAATATATTGCTTCAAGCAACTAATGTCATACTAATCCCTGGCAGCAATGACATTACCATTAACATAGGCAATTAGGTAAATGCATCCCTGACGTGCATGATAGAAAACAAAATAGCCAGCTTTCGCTGCAAGTCATGCCAAGCACAAGGTGACTTTCAATCAATATAAAGTGTAGGAAAGTCAACATTTATAGTAGATGATTCCCCTAAAGCAACAAAACATAGTAATTGTTCCATACAAGCTTCCTAATCAAGATTGCCAAAGAGCCAAAAGACTCAGTTTGAAAAAACTCTCCCTCTGAAGTTGAGAACACATGTAAAAAGATTAAATTTCATCAAAAGTGACATTCATGGAGGTAAAAAAACTTGACTCAAAGGATGGTAACAACAATATCCGCTTTTATTAGATGCATAATCAAAGAATATGCATTTAAAAACTCTAGGATCTAAATTTACATGGAACTAACATATGACTATGGACAAATACAACACATCCAAACACCTGACTAAGAAAACTAGAGCGAAAAGGATCGATTGGAAAAAAAAGGAAAAATGGACTCAATTGGACTCAAACCATCTAAAACCAAAGGGTGATTGGTTAATATGATAGGCAATAGTGAGGATAGTCTAATCCCAATAAGATTCAAGGACGTACATTTGGAAAAGAAGTGTCGTGTCACCTCAAGAGGATGCCCATTCTTTCTCTGAGCAACACCATTACATTGTGGTGTATTCACACATGAAATCATGAACAACACCATTTTCGGAAAAGAAGTTAGCATGTCATGATTTACATATTTTCTCCCATTATCAAAATGCAAGCATTTAATTGACTTTCCAAATTGTGTTATCATACCACGAGAATTTGATGAATAAAGTAAACTTTATATTTTTCTTCCATGAGGAATATTTATTGGACAAAGGTACACACCTCAATAAAAGTGACAAACCATTTAACACCAAATATACTAGAGTTTGATGCAGGCCACCAAGCATCAAAATGAACCAAATCAAAAGGATGAGATGAGCACGTTTTGTATTACTAGGACAAAAAAGAATGCATGTCCTAGGCAGCAGTGGAGAAGCCAAGAGGTAGTGTTAGGTTTCTGAGTTAGAAAACCTAACTTTCTCACAACACCCACTCACACAAAGGCAATTCAAGCAAGAGAAAACAAAGGAAATGCGTAAATTCACTGTAATTGTATAACGAAAAGCAATAACGATTCAGGAGCCAAATCCCCCTCAACAAGGTCCAAGACCTGTTTACACAACGTAAGAAAATGGCTAGCACCCAACAGAATAACAAAAGGTTTATCTTGAATTTAGAAGAGAGAATATATTATTTTCTATTATATGTCTCCTTACATGCATTGAATATATATACAAAAACTCATTGAATGAGCAGCCTATTATACAAAACAAATCCCTAAAATTGTGGGATTGTTATTCTAATAATAATAGCAAGATACAGGGAATATAACAAATTAAATACATGGAAATAATATTTAAAGTTTCCTAAAATATATTTTGACACTCCCCCTCAAGCTGGTGAATAAGTGTTTTCCATTCCCAGCTTGGATATAATTATTTCAAAATTATTTCAAAATTACTGTTGCTCAGTCCTTTGGTGAGTATGTCTGCAAGTTGACCTTGAGTGGACACATATGGGGTGCAAATCAAGCCACTGTCAAGCTTTTCTTTGATAAAATGTCTGTCCACCTCAATATGTTTGGTTCTATCATGTTGTACTGGGTTGTG